CCCTCTTAAGGACAAAGCTTTGTATCTCGATTCAAGGTAGAAATAAATTGTTGAGTCTTTCCGGCGAGTTCTGATCGTTCTGCGCAACAAGTTTGCGTCACGAATCACGTGACCACAGCACTAGCACTTCGTTTGAAAACTAAGCCCAGATGCTGGTCGCCATGTTGCATGGAGAAAAATATTTTTAAAGAGGAACAAAGTTACAGTTTTCGACGGTAACCAATCAAAAATAACACGAAGGTGTACAAGATGCAATATTTAAATGAAATGCTTCATAAATCTGTCACAATGTCTTGCAGGAAGTGGTAATTTTGGGATCACCAATGACCCCATCTCGATCAGTTTTTTGTTCAGTTTCCCTGGTCCCTTGAGCAAATGCTGAGATTACCCCTTGTTTTGCTCCTGAACAGTAATGTAACTTCGCTATCGCAACCCAAGATATCATATTGACTCGTCATACACGATTGTAATTGTATAAGTGACTCAATAAATATTATTGTTATTATTATTATCATTATTATTATTATTATTATTATTATTATTATTATTATTATTATTTTATTTGGCAGCATTTAAAATTTCCGCCTATTGTGATACAAACTGATGTCTAAAACTCATTGGCTTTCAGCGGACACGATACTCAAAAGCCCCCCCCCCCCCCCCCCCGTCCCGATTCCAGGGCCTGCTGCAGAGCGAGTGCCCGTAATTGTTATATTCTCCGGTGCGCGTTGCAGCCTTAGCGATACTCATAAAATTAGTGTTCTCTTTGATATGGATAGTGAAAAAATGGTATAATAGTTATTAAATAATTGCTAGTCTTCCCTTTCGTATGAAGAAAAGATGATAATGAGTAAGTGATAATGAGCAACCATGTCCTAATCTAATGATATTCCAGAATTAATTTAAAAATCTACAAACGAATTATGGGAAAAACGTCGATCATGTTTTTTTAAAATACTTCAATACTTCATAATTCCTTCTTTATCAACGCCCTAGATCCAGAGTGAGGAGACACCTGATAGTATCATATTCCACGTTTCTATTTTGAGTGTGAACGAGTGTTCACACGCGTGTGCGTGCAAAATACCAATTTACAAGTGATTAGAGAGTTATAAGTAGTGATAGTGTGTGCTAGTAAATTAGAAATGGAGTCAGGTACACACACAAGTGAAGGTACAGTAAGACACCAAGATTTAAGCAGTTCACACGATGATTTGTGATAGTGTTGAGTGAGAAACGCCAAATCTCCGAAGCCCGAAACAGCAGGAATGCCAACCATAACAATATAAGAATCTCGATCTCTGCGGAGGATACATGGAAGAATTAGGAAATGAGGGCAAGGCGGTGGAATGCGACGGGCCGTAAAAGATATGGTTCCACAGCAAATGTGCAGGGATTTCTGCCGGCGAATTTAACGCGTTCAGTAATAGTAAGAAATGTAATGGAGTATGGTTGTGTCAGCACTGCAAGGTGAGGTTATCATAACTTTGGCTTAAACACAGTGGCGAGACATAGGTAAGTTTCTCCGGAGCACCGATTTTTGCTCGTATTACGTACCAGCAGTATGCGTCACGAACAACGTGACCTCAGCACGGGCACTTCCTTGGAAAAGCTAGACCAGACTAGACCACTCCTAGGCTAACCTAGACCATGGTGCATGGAGAGTTAGAAGTGTAGACAAACACTTTGAAAGTGGTACAAAGGGACAATTTTCAACAATAGCCAACCAAACACAATACGATGGTGTACATGATGGGAATATGTTTAAAAATTGCTCCATAAATCCCTTACAATGTCTCGTAACGAGATGATCATTTTAGTACCTGGTTGCATTTCAAATTGCCGCTAATATTGCCTGCTAATTGACGCAAACTGGCGTCTGAAGCTCATTGGCTGAAGTCGGATACGATGCACAAGAGCCTCCTGAGATTAAAGAAAACATAAAAGATAATCAAAACTTCATCATACAAGAGTTGAATGAAATGAGGAACATGATAAGAGGTACCAAATGCTCAGGAGAATGACAATCGGTAATACTGACAACCACTGAGAAAAGAAGTAATGGAAAGCCAAGAAAGTGCAAAAAGAAAGACTACGTAATCCGAAAGACTCCCCTGCAGAGCAGCCAAAAAAAACTGAAGAAAACGAAAACACTAATGATGAAAACATTACAGAAGAGAGAGAGAGAGAGAGAGAGAGAGAGAGAGAGAGAGAGAGAGAGAGAGAGAGAGAGAGGGGGTGAACGAGAAGAAACAAGGGAAACAAATGTAAGACTGCCAGACATGGAAGACGAAAGTACTATCCCCCTAGAAACTGACGCTACCAACTGTGGAAATGATGAAACGAATGATGTAACAAGAAATAGCAATGAAACATTCAAACAGAAAAAGAGCGTAATAATAGGCCTGAAAGATGCTCACAAGGAAGAGAAAAGTTCAATAAAGGCGAAAACAAAATTTTCCTGGTGGTATGTGGGCACATTGGAGGGGAACACTAAAGCAGAAGACATGATGGAGTACATAAAATAAAATGGAGAAATAATCTGTGAAAACGTAAATAGTCAGGGCCGAAACAAAACTTTTAAGATAGGTGTTCCCTTAGAAGACAGAAATAAAAACGCTACTTTATCGATAATTTTTCGCCACAAAGAATAATAAGGCCCTTTCGATTAAAAAAGTGGACGACATGGAAGGCATCAGGTTACGTAAAGAATAGTAAGTGCAATAACCAGAACAGGGGACATAAAATTAAAACTAAAACTGGAACTGAAATAATGACGATGCTATGGAATGCGGAAGAAGACAAAAATGATTTTGCACTTGTACCATTAGAGACAATAAGACATTATAATATTATCATAGCAACAAAAACATTTCTGCTAAAGCCAATAAAAATTCGAGGAATGTGTGGAACAGAGAGTATATATCACTCGTGGTGTGGAATTCACTCGCACGCTTCCGCAACTGAAGGAAAACCAGTAGTGGCTATCTTCTTCAAACACAAAAGAGGGGAAATAATCGATACGTACAAAGAAGATAACACGATTGTTGACAATTGCCGGCCAAATTACTTCAAATTTTGCGCCTTGTCTTCTTTAACAGGGCGTTTGATGTTCTTTGAAGGCGTTTCAGAGGAAAGAATCATACATTTTAAACTTGGCGCTCTGGAGAGCTAATTTTCTCCAAAAAGCCGCGCGAATTTCTTCTCTGTTGATCGAGCATTCATTTCTTCGTGCAAAATTCCTTGAAGGCGATTGTCAACTTCTTTCTATTAGTTCGGAGCGTCACCGAAAGATCGCACTAGCTCCTGGTGGCGCGGCTCCCGCGTAAATTGGCATTGTCGAAATACTAGGAATTTTCTATCGCAGACGCCTGCTCGCATTGTCACCACAAGCTAGTGCGGAAAGCTGAGTAAAGGCGTTTTGAACGTCTTCAAGGTTCGATCCAGAGTGTGCCAGGCACTGGATGTAATAGAAACACGGAGCAAAAGCCACGGAATTCGCAAGGAAAGGTTTAATTTGTTTGGATAGAGGTAACTGTGACAACTTCTTCAATTCTCGTTAATTCTTTCTCCAAGTAACAATCCTTGTCAATTGTGTGTCATCTCTTTTCCAGAACACTCTTGTCTGACAAAAACTACTGAGATAGAAGAGCCGATGTTCCGTTGCCATTTCCATCAAAATGCTCTCCCAACTTTTCTTCGACTATTTCGCCGCCTTAACAACGATCATCATCCAGACAAACATATTGATCCTCGTACATCGACCCAAAATGGACAGCTGATGATCCCATAGAGATCATTTTGAGAGCAACAACATGACAAGAACGTAATAGCAGGGGACTTCAGTTGCAGAATAGACAAGCCAAACATAAATACCAAGCTCATTCTAGAAGCCTTTAGGAAATAAGGCGTCACATTAGTTGCCAAAAGAGACCTAAAACCTACTTTGCGTCCAACGGATCCAGCGCTAAAGATCTAATCATATATAGAGAAGATAAGGGTATTAGAGCAAAGAGAATGTGTACATCGGCTGTCCTAATAAGAAAGCACAAACCCGTAGAGACAACTATCAGTATAAACAAACCACCACCAAAGAAAATTACCATTGGAAAACTCAT